GAAGAACAAGGCACTGGAAATTTGTGGAGTCCAAAATGAAATCATTCAACAAACTGATGCAGCATTGCAGACACTCATCTCTGCCAAGAAATCTGGAGGACAGCTACCTGGCTAACTCATTCAAGAGATCCATATGTGTACCCATTTCAAAGAGGTGACCCAATGAAATGAGGAAATCATTAAACAAACAATATCAATAATATTGCATACAATTAAAATTTTTCTAAAGATAATAAATACAAAAATGGCTGCAATCATACACTATAGAACTTCCAGAGGTTTAAACTGAATTCAGAAGAGGACGTGGAACAAGGGATATCATGGCTGATGTCCAATGGATCTTGACTGAAAGCAGAGAATACCAGAAAGATGTTTACCTGAGCTTTCGGTTGTCCAGATCATGAAAAGCTATGGACAATACTGCAAAGAATGGATATTCCAGAACACTTACTTGTGCTTATGAAGAATCTGTACACAGACCAATAGCAGATCAAGGGAAAACCAAATGGTTTAAAATTAGAAAAGGTATGTGCCAGGGTTTATTCTTTCACCACACTTATTCAATCCTTACTCAGTCCATATGCTGAACAAATAATCTGAGGAGCTGGATTTACATGAAGAAAAACATGGCATCAGGATTAGAGGGAAGGCTCATTAACAACCTGTGATATGCAGATGATATAACCTTGCTTACTGGATGTGAAGAGGACTTAACATACTGATGAAGATCAAAGACCACAGACTTTGGTATGGGTTGCACCTCAATGTAAAGAAAAAAATCCTCACCGTTGAACCAATAAACAACGTCCATACAAATGGAGAAAAGACTGAAGTTGTTAAAGACTGCATTGTTAAGTATATTAAGACTGAAGTTGTTAAAGACTGCATTGTTAAGTATTAACACTCAGAGAAGTAGCAGTCAAGTAATCAAATGACATATTATTGCATTAGACAAATCAGCTGTACAAGACCTCTTTTTAAGTTCAATAGCAAAGATGTCAGTTTGTGGACTAAGATGAGCCTGACCCAAGCAATGGTGTTTTCAATAACCTGAGATGCATGTGAAAGTTAGACTGTAGAAAAATTGATGCATTTGAGTAATAAGTACCACGGCCATCCAAAAGAACAAACCAATTTGTGTTGGAAGAAGTGCAGTCAAAATGCTCCCTGAAAGCCCAGATGGCCACACTTCATCTCTCATAGTTCGAGCATATTTTCAGGAGGCACCGACTGGTCCCTGGAGAAGAATATCATGTTTGGTAAAGCGGAGGGTCAGAAAAAAGAAGACTCTCCCCAAATATAGACTGTCATAATGGCAGCAGCAATTATCTCAAATTTATCAACAATTGTGAGGTTGCCGTAGGACTGGGCAGTGTTTTGATCTGTTGTGTGCAGGGTTGCAGAGTCAGTTCTGATTCGATGGCACCTAATAATAGCAACTAGAAAAAGAGGAAGACCTCTAACGAGATGGATTGGCCAAGTGGCATCATTGATGGACTCAAGTGTGGCAGCGGTAGTGAGGTTGGCCCAGGATCAGACATTGTTTCGTTCTGCTGTGCATGGGGTCGCTATGAGTCGGTTCCGACTTGATGGCACCTGACAACAAAAACAACAGTACAATACTACACCTTGGAGAGATGACAGGGGTAGGCAATGAGGATTTGAGAGTCATTTGCAGAGTTGAAGCTACAGAAATGTAAGAAATTTAGGATGAGTACAGTACGGGGGGTGGTGGGGGAACTGAGTGGAGGTCTAGCATTTGGATATACTTACAGGTAGACAAGAGCAAGGAGAATCAGCAGAGACAAAGTAGGCGTAGGCGTGCCTGTGAGAATCTGGGAGCGTGTTGTTTTAAAGTGATGTCAAGGTGGTTTCAACTCATTGTGAAACTGTATAAGATTATGAGAAGCGGCTGGTGTATTTGAACCACCGACTTTGTGGTTACCAGTTCAGTGCTTACCCTACAGAACTTCTAGGGTAGTGTGGGTTATGCCATGGAGTCAGTTCTGATTCATAGTGACATGGTATGGGGTTTCTGAGGCTGTAAATCTTTATGGGAGCAGAGCCTCATCTTTCTCCCATGGGATGGCTGGTAGTTTTGAACTGCTGACTGTGAGATTAGCAGCCTGACTTGTAACCACTACACTATCAGTAGCATAGCAGAAAACATATATGCTAAGAAAGTTGTTTTAAGAATGAGAGATAGAGGATGAAGAAAAGTCTAAAAAGCCGAATGATATATAGACAGAAAGGTCACCTGGATGACAAAGTGCCAATACCAGGAGAGCATTAGAGAGGACCTCAGATACTTGTTGTGCTGTGGCACTGCAATGGTAACGCTAGGTGGGCTAAGCGTTGGAACCGACCAGACGGCACTTAACAACAAGTGCCATCTAGTTGGTTCAAACTCAGAGTGAACCCAGTATAAAGTTCCCCAGAAGCAGTTAGTGGGTTTGAACCACTGACTTTGTGATTCAAGGCCTCAGCCATATCCTACCGAGCAACAGTGCTCCCCTATAATATAGTAAGATCATTGATTTTGTTGAAAAGGGTTGGTTGGGCAAGGTGTGTAATTAAGTGCAGCCAGAGTGCTCCTTGGGGGGGCAGCATGGCCAAACTTCGGACATATTGTCAGGAGGGGCCATTTGCTGGAGAAGGACATCATGTTTGGTAAGGTGGAGGGTCAGAGAAAAAGAGGAAGACTCCCAGTGAGATGGATTAGCCAAGTGGCAGCATCAGTGGGCTCAAGTGGGGCAACACTTGTGAGGTTGGCCCAGGATCGGGCAGTGTTTCGTTCTGTTGTGCAGAAGGTCACTATGAGTTGGTACTGACTCGATGGCACCTAACAACAACAATCTGTACTGAGAAGTGACTCCTGTGCGTATTTATCCTTCTAGGCTTTTCTTTGATCGCTTATGCCCTGGTACAGCACCTTGCTCTTAAAAATCTTTTCATTATGGTTTTTACAACTGCTTTTTCTCTTCTTGGCACTCATTTTTGTAATCCTCCTTTGGGAGTTCGTGATCATCATTTAGCTAACACATTGGGGATTAAAGCAGTGGGAAAACTGAGTAGTTCTTCGTAAATTAATGTGCAGTGTACTTCTCTGCAGAATTTCTAATATGAAGTAATAGAAACACATCTCAACAATTTGCTTGCTGTTCTTGTTAAGTGATGTCAAGTTGGTTCCGACGCATAGCAACCCTAAACAAGATGTTCAAGGAGCAGCTGGTAAACTTGAATGCCAATTATATTATAAATGTTTGTTAAGATGTATGATGTGTAAGACCTAACCAAGTTCCTTTTCTTACTACTTATGCTTTACTGCCTAATAAGCACATCTGGTTGCGTGTTGTGAAGTCAGTTCAGGAGGTTTCCGAGACTGTAAATGTTCACGGGAGCAGAGCCACCTCTTTCTCCCGTAGATTGGGACTACTGACCTTGCAGTTAACAGTCCAGCTCATAAGCCACTATGCTACCAGAGCTCTTAATAATATCTATGAGTCATTGTGATTACACTTAATTAATGTACTAGTAAAAATATTCAGCACACGAATTACACAGAGAAAGTAAAAGAAAATAAGCATGGAATGAGAAGAAAACGATCTTTTCAATGGCTGTCATTTAGTGGAACAAACAGAAATGTCTAAGAGCTAAAGTAGTGAGTATATTAGAAAAAACTACCTGCTACTAATAAAAGCATAACAAAATCCATAAAGGTGAGTACGGTGGATTTTGATCTCTCTAATGTGGCACTGTGGGCTAATGCGTCAGACTGCAAAGTTGTTTGAACTGCAAGTTTGGTGATTCAAGCTCACCAACTGCTCCTTAGAAACCCTATACAAGGTCGCTATGGGTCAGAATCGACTCAATGTTACTTAAAAACAACACTGCAAAGTTGGTTTGAACCACAAGGTTGGAGGTTCAAGCTTACCAGCTGCTCTTGTGTTGTTGTTGTTAAGTGCCGTCGAGTCGGTTCCGACCCATAGCGACCCTGTACAGGGTTTCCGAGGGTGTAAATTCTTACGGGAGTAGAAAGCCTCATCTTTCTCCCGCGGAGCGGCTGGTAGTTTCGAACTGCTGACCTTACGGTTCGCAGCCCGATTCGTAACCACTACGCTACCAGAGCTCCTTAAGAAACCCTATACAGGGATGCTATGGGTTAGAACTGACTTGAACCTTTAGGAAAAGCCTGTGGTACAGTTGTTAAAGCACTTGGCTTTGGTCAGCAGTTTAAAAGCCCCAGTCTCTCCATGGGGAAAAGATGCAGCAGTTGGCTTCTGTTAAGGTTTACAGCCCTGGAAACCCTCTGGGGCTACTCTGCCCTATGGTGTCACTGAGTTAGAATTGACAACTAGATGGATACGTCTCAAAGAATTCAAGGAATTTTGACATCCAGTTTCACTTCAAAACCAATTAATAAAATTACTCTTAAAATGTACTGACCATGATATGGATAGCTTTATGAGTAGAAAAAAATATCCACATAAAATAAATGGATGCGGGATGAATAAATGTGAAGCTTCCCTGACGTGAAATGATCTAAGTCTAAGCTTGTTGCCATACTTGAAAAGGAAGAAGCATTGCATAGAAAACATCTAGCAAAAGTCTAAAAGGAAGAGAAGCAAGCGCAGTTCAGAGTGTCTGCATTAGCCACTAGGTGGTGGCATTGGCCCAGGATACTTCAGCTGTGGAGGTGGTGGTGAAGTGCGTGGTGTCTTTAGGACTGTAGAGGGTTTCCGAGACTGTAAATCTTTACGGGAGCCGAAAGCTGTGGAGGCAGATTAAGTAAATATGTGGCCATTTGTTAAGTTGAATGTTCACAGCTTTGGAGTGTCAGCGAATGGGACCATAACTCATTCTACCTCATTATTTTTTAATAAAATCTTTGAAAAACATGCTAATTTTGAGGAGCCACTAAAATTAAGAAAAATCATCAACAAATTAAGTAAGTAGGATTTGTTATAAAATTATCATAAAAAACACATTTGCCCACTCACCTTTACTACGTTGTCCCCCGTTTGTCCATTATTCCGTAAACAATCTAGACAAATGGCAATCTGTGGGTCACTTCTGTGATAGTCTTTGTCGTCCTGATTTTCATCACCTTCTTCATCTACTTTAGGTTTGTCAACCTTTGAAGTATCATCTGCATAATTAAGTAAAATTGAGTCAGACAGAAACAAAGTTGATTTTAGAGTTAAAGCCGTAAAATATGTTAAGTATTAAAAAATAGGTATTAAAAATATGTATGTATTTCTCAGCAGTTTTTGAAGAATAACTTTTCACATTTTGTTATTATGTTTCAACCAACTCAATTAACCAACTGTGACTTACTAACATAGCCTATAACTGCTAGCTGCACTGGGGCAGTCAACTTAAGAGTCAAGACTAGCTATACTCCGTCACCAAACGATATTGTGATAGCAGTATCTTCAGAGTGGACCAGTTATAAAAACAAATGCAAATTCTCTATACCTTCAAATTAAAAACCAAGTACCCATCTTTCACACTACAAAATACTTTCTTTGCTGCTGCTGTTAAGTATTGTTGAGTCCGTTCCAACTCATAGTGATAGTGTACCCGGCTTCTGAGGCTGTAAATCTGTATAGGAGCAGAAAGCCTTAGTCCCCTGTGGAATGGCTGGTGGATTTGAACTGTTTACCCTGTGGCTAACAGCCTTATCGTATGCCACGACACCACCAGGGCTCCACTAGCCTGCTATTACACTCAGGGTGGCCGCCATACTGGAGGAAACACACGTAAGCCAACAAAAGAGATCTGTTTGGCAGTATGATAGAATTTTGATGGCAGAGGTAAAATGGACACACGTGAGAGAGGCAATAAACCCCTGGGGTGAGATGGAAATTTAGGTATGATTTTCAAAATATAGAAATCTATAAGGTAAAATCTATAGGAATTAGCTAGCCATGTATTATAGAAAGGCTAAGACAATTAATGATTTCTCAGCTCCACTTAGTGCCTACAGTGAAAGTGGTACCACAAAGAGAGAAGGTAGGTGTTCTTTCTTCTACATATTCATATGGAACCCACATAGGCAGGAGCTCTGGGAAAACATCCAAACTGTCCACCCAAACTAAAGACCAAGTTATTATAAATACCGCACTTCCAAAAGAGCTTACATAAAATTCATAAAGTAGGATGTGGCCCTTTGCATGTCAATCTACAAAATGCACGGGTTCATAAACTAAACTTTCAGAGAACTGTTGCTGATGATCCGTGTCTGGTCTCTTAAACAGGTAGCTAAACACTGGAACTCACAGTGACCCCGGATAGTGTGGCTGGGGAGTTTTAACCGCTGACCTCATGGTTAGTGCTTACCCTACAGGGCCACACCAGGCCTCCTTTTACTATGTATACTATTCTAGAACTATACTGCTTAGATTTTAATGTGCGCTTGAGCAAAAACATTACTGTAGTTAAGTCATTTTGTGGTTAGGCTTAGTTTCTTTGGCCATCCATCTTGTTCTCATTGACCAAAAGTTTTTCAAAACTTTTCTGTAGTCTCCTCCACTATAAGCCGGAACACAGCCCTGAATTAATAAAATAAAAACAAACGCATTTTCCCATCAACTTGATGATGTAAAACTATCTGTGCTTTTAAGGAGCCCTGGTGGTGCAGTGGTGTAGGCGCTGAGCTGCTAACCCCAAGGTCAGCCGTTCACACTCCTCAGCCCCTGCACAGGAGAAAGATGAGACTGTCTGCTCCTATCAAGATTTACAGCCGCTTAACTCAATGGGGCAGTTCTACTTCATCCTGTAGGGGTCACTATGAGACAGAATTGACTCGATGGCAGTGGGCTTTAGTTTAGATCTTAGGGGAAAACCAGGACTGGGAGATTGAGGCCACAACGGAGCCTAAGAAAATCCAAAAACATTCTTAAAAAATTTCAGTAACAACAGAAAAAGATAATACTAAATCTTAATGTACGCTCAGTAAATCATTTCTAGATTCAGAAATTATTAAAAATTACTGAGTCTCCTGGGACCTGGAGATGGATGGGTGATGGAGACAATTCTCTGAAGCACTAGACATATTTTTCACATCTCCAGGATACGTGAAGTTCGTACTGTCTGAGTGTCACCTGAGGAGACATCATGGCAGAAAGCCTCACCTGGCTGCCAGCCACTTCTCAGTTCCCTCTCCCATTAAAACAAACATACAAAGCAAATCAACCCAAACAAACCCTCTCAGTGTTTAGTTGCAAATTAGGGGTATTTTTTTCACTCGAGCTCTCCAGAAAACCTAGTCATTTTCTTGGTTTAGTTACTTCCCAAAGTCTAGTTTTCTCTATTTCCAACTACCCTTAACTCCAGTGATTCTAGATCAACATGCTGTTAATGCCTTTAATTGATTTTGACCCACAGCAACCCAATGTTTCAGAGAAACCCACAAGTTTTTCCTAGGGGGGTCCTGGTATTGCACTGTAAGATAAGTACTGGATGCTAGCTGCAGGGTCGGCAATCCAACCCCACCAGTTGCTCCTCAGAAACTTTACACAGTAGAGTCACTGTGAGTTGGAACTGATTCACGACCCTGACCAGCAACAATTGTTATGGGAGCAGATCAACAGGTCTTTCTCCCACAGAGCTCCTGGGTGGGTTCAAACCAGCAATCTTTTGGTTACCAGCTGAGTGCTTAACAGATGTGCCACCAGGGCTCCTTCCACATCTGTACATTTTTAAAATCTCAGAGAAAGGAATAAATGTAAATAAAGGGGCACATAAATTTAGTGCAGGAAAAATTTTAGCTTGAGAGATAAAGTAAAGTTACCAAAAGCTGGTCATTTAGAGAGCTGTGTCTAGATGACTATTTTTGCTCAGATACAGAAATAGGAAAACATCACCTTGTCCATTTTCTTGAGGCTTATTTTTCTTCCAAAACTCAGATTCACGCTCAAGTTCTTCTAATTTAAAAGAAAAAATATCCACAAATCAGAGAAACAATCATGAAATCTATCAAAGAAATGCTGGTTTCATAAAATACAAAAATCTGTAAGAAGTTATAAAGCAACTTACGTTCTCGTAGTCCAGGAACCAGTTTAAATATAATTTCTTCTAATGTATTATCCAACCTTTCAAAGAAAAAAATTGTAGCAATGATGACATCAAGAGTCAATATGTAACTAGTTTGAGATCTGTATCGCATTTGTATTACAAACTACAGGGCATACATAACGTTGGCATATCAACGTTGGCATATCAATTAGACCAAGCTCAGGGAATTTGCACAGGGAGCAAGCACACCTAGGTCTAGCCTTCTCCAAAGCGGTGGGTTACCCAATCCCTACTTCTATAGGAAAAATATATCCCTCTTTCCCTAGACTCACCTTTGGCAATGTGATTTTAAAATTCCTCCTATTAAGGGATGACGTTTCAAGGACTGGACTTCAACTGATTGAGGCCAACTGAACATGACAGAAGTGACAGTGTGCTTAGTACCTAGTTCCAAACCTACATGTTAAGAGGCATCACATGCATATGTCTGCACACACACGGACTTACTCGCCCTCCCTTTCTCTCTCTCTCTCTCACTCAGAACCTTGATACTGTGAGAGGCCAACAAGGCAGGATGACACACCATGTTGAAGGGAGCCCAGCTGTCCTGCGGAGATCAATCTACAAACAGACTGCCCCCAACAGGTGAAAGAGCCTAGCTAAGATCAGCAGAGCAATCTATCCAGCTGGCTGCTCATTGTTGTCACATGAATGAGCCCAACTAAGACCAGAACAACTACCTGGCTGATCCCCAGACCTGCAAGAGATCATAAATGTTGATGTTCAGGAATGCAGGTAGTCCCTGACTTACAGTGTATTCGAGTTGTGACGAAACATAATTATTATATATAAGTATTGCTAATAATGAAAAGTTTAAAAAAGAGGTATTCAACTTACATCAGAACCAACTTCGGATGGAGTTTTTGGAACACAGCCCTATCATAAGCAGGGGACTATCTGCAGCCTGCTATGCACTGATAGCTAAGTGATATTATCCTCTCTCAAAATATCACAATTCTGGCTCTTTTCTATAAAGAAAATTGACCTATATCCCTCTCTGAAAAATATAGAGCAGTATGGCGTTACATTTTCCTAGGAGAAAATGTAAGTATTTTTCTTATTTTCCTTTTCGGCTATAGTAGTCGAACTCTTCCTTTCCATGACTAACCCTTTCAGGTCTTCAATGACAAGCTCTGGCTCCCAAAGAACCCTTTTCTCTCTTCATCTTCTCATTCTGTTCAGCGGCAGTACTACTGTCTGACGACAATAAACAGACACAACCCACCACTAAAGTCTTTACTTAAACCATTGCCACCTTCAGCCACTTTCCAATCTTTTCTTCCAACTAGATTGCCACACATTTTCTTTTACTTTATGAAACTCTCAAAATCACCCATAACTTCCTCATTAGTGTAAAACAGTTTGAAGAATTTAAAAACTATGTTCTTCTACCTTACTCTATTGATAGTTTGCTTAACACTGATCCTTTTAAACTTTCCTGGTTCTTCCTTTTTTGTTTGATCTTTCTTCATCTCTGAGTATTTTTCTTTTTTTCCAACCACCTCTAAATATGAGTAGTCTCCATTTTGACTGTTTCAACACACTTTCTTCTTTGAGGATCTTAGTCACATTTGTGGCTTTATAGTTAACATATAAGCAAATGACTTGGGTCTGGACCCATGTTACATCTTTCTGCTAGGATCTCATTTATCCTCTTTCAACAAAATACTGAGTGCTGCTCTCACTGTCTCACATTTTTAAATGATTCTGTTTACTGCTATTGTAGTTAAATGCCATCAAGTCAGTTCTGATTCATAATGACCCTGTCTAGAGTCACCAAGGAACAGCTGGTGGATTTGAACCACCATCTCTGTGGTTAGCATCCCAGTGCTTATCCTACAGCACCACACCAGGACTCCAACTGAGACTATGGTGGTGGTGGTGTGCTGTGGATCCTGCATAGGGTTTCTGAGGCTGTAAATCTTTACAGGAGCAGAAATTCTCAGCTTTCTCCAAAGGAATGGCTGGTAGTTTGGAACTGCTGACTTTGAGGTTAGTAGCCCGACATAACCACAATGCTACCAGAGCTCCTTGAATGATACTATAGCTCTCCCAAATAGACTCAAACTGCTATCTTGGCTTCTCTCTCCACCAAGCTCAACTGACAGCACCATCTCAATGGCTCTTCTATCTACTCGTTCCATGTCTCTTCTCTCTTCAGCACTATTTCTAGCCCTTCTCCACCACTGGGCTACACTGACTTACTGCATTCTATAGAATCATTCCCTTCAACATTCAAATATGGCTATTTCTTCCCTATCAAAAAAAAAAAACCAAACTCCTTGGCCACTTTTGTTTCCATTTGGAGCAAAATTCCTAGAAAAGTAGTCTATAGTCACTGTTCTGGTTCTTTTCCCACCCCTTCTCTCTTGAAACTAACCCATTTGGTCTTGTGCTGTAGCTCTACTTGGACCCCGAAACTGCTCTCCTTGTCGGGGTCCATCATCACCTCTCAGCCATCACCTGACGTCCAGGGCACCCGCTGAATTCTCCTCCTCTCACCTCACTGGTTGCATCTCCTCAGTTTCCTTTGCTGTTTCCTCCTCTTCTCCCCAATGCCAGGGTTCAATCCTAGGTCCTCTATTCTTCTCTCTACTCACTTCCTTAGTGATCTCATCCTGACTCACAGCTTTAAATACCTTCCAATGCTAAAGCAACAGCGTGTCTGTCAGTTTGCTGTACTGTGGTGGCTTGCGTGTTTCGATGATGCTGGACGTTACCCACTGCTACTACAACTGCCAGCAAAGTCACCCATGGTGGGACAGATTTCAGTGGAGCATTCAGACTGAGACAGTCTGGGAAGGAAAGCCTTGTCATCTACTTCTAAAAATAAACCAATGAAAACCCTATGGATGAAAACAGAACACTGTTTGATCTACCGACTGCTGGAAGATAACTAACCCTCTAGGTTGAAAGGTACTCAAAATAAGCACTGGCTGCAATAAGGCATACCAATGGTTGTGAAGATGGTTTATGAATGAGCAACACTTCATGCTGAAGTGCTTACCTCAGGCTTCTTCCGCTGGAGCCCAGACTTTATTATACATATATTCACCTGCCCCTAACTTCCTCGTGTTGGAAATGTTGTTGCTAGGTGCCATCAAGCCAGCTCTAACTCACAGAGACCCCACAGACCACAGAATGAAACACTGCTCAGTCTTGTGCCATCCTGACAATGTGATGTTTTAGCCCATTACTACCACTGTGCCAACCCATCTCATTCACGGTCTTCCTATTTTGCACTGACCCCTTCACTTTATCAAGCATGATGCTCTTTTCAAGGGATGAGGAGTGCCTTCTGATAACATGTCCAAAGTGTGTGGACAGTCTCACCATTCACACTTCCAAGGAGCATTCTGGCATTCAATGCATGGTATGTTCAGTATTTCTTGCCAACAGCATAATTCAAAAGCATCAATTCACCTCCGATTTTCTTTATTCATTGTCCATTTTTCACATGCAGATGAAGTGATTAAAAATACGATGGCTTGAATACTTTTTTTTTTTTTTAAAGAGAAGTAAGCCTTTAATTTATTGGCAGCAAAGAAGTTGGCTGAGTTGGTGGTAGCTTTGGTGACTAGTCAGACCAAATCCCATATCCTCGTCTGACTCCTCCCACTCTTCCTTTGCTTCAACCTTGGCGGGGGTGAAGGCAGCAGCTGGAGCAGCAGTGGTGGCAGTAGCCACAAATGCAGATGGATCAGCCAAGATCAGCCAAGAAGGCCTTGACCTTTTCAGCCAGTGGGACTCAGTCCCACTTTTCAGGTGTACTCAGTCTCCACAGACAAAGCCAGGGCCCGCTTGTACCCATTGATGATGGAATGAGGTACTGAGGCCACAGCTGGGTAACCAATCTGGAGACACACACTGGCACCATTGCTAACATCCTCCAGGAAGTGAGTATGCAGAGCTTCCTCAGTGATATCAAGCACTTCTGGGTTATAGATGCTGCCATTGTCAAACACCTGTTGGATAATCAGCCCAAAGGAGAAGGGGGAGATGTTCAGCAGGGTGGCTTCGCTGGCTCCCACTTTGTCTCCAGTCTTGATCAGCTGCACATCACTCAGGATTTCAATGGTGCCTCTGGAGATCTTTATGGTGATGCCCAGAGCCTGGAAGAAGGAGGTCTTCTCCAGACCCAGACCAGTGTTCTGGGCTGGCACAGTAACCTCACATGGGGCAATGGCCCCAGCACGGGCGGCAGCCGGCAGCATGCCCCTGATCTCAGTGAGGTCCTCCTTGGTGAACACAAATCCCACATTGCCCCGGATGTGAGGGAACAGTTTCTCCAGAGCAGGGTTGTTTTCCAGGTGCCCCCGGATGGCCTTGTGCATCATGGTGTTCTTGCCCATCAGCACCACGGCTTTCCCGCGCAAGGACATGCGGATCTGCTGCATCTGCTTGGAGCCCACGTTGTCTGCTCCCACAATGAAGCATTTTGGATAATCATCCAAAAGTTGTATGATCTTAAGGAAGTAGTTGGACTTCCAGGTCGCCCTGTCTTCCCTGGACATCACGATGGGGCGTCAGGGATTGCCACGCGGGGTTTAAAGACGATGTCACTCTCACGAGGACGCCTGGCCGGCTTGAATACTTTTAAGAGGTCTTTTAACCCAATGCAGATTAACCCAATGCAATATGTCATTTGGTTTCTTGGCTGCTGATTCCATAAATGTTGATAGTGGATCCAAGAAAAATGTTAAGTCTTTGACAACTTCAATCTTTTCTCCATGTATCATAGTCTATTGGTCCAGATATAAAAAAATTTTCTTTTCACACTGAAATCCATACTGAAGGCTTTAAAAAAAATCATCAGCAAGTGCCTCAAGTCCTCCTTGCTTTCAGCAAACAAGATTGTATCATCTGCATATCCCATGTTGTTAGTGGGCCTTCTTGCAATGCTGACGCCACGTTCTTCCTATAGTCTGATGACAGCTTCTCCAGTTATTTGCTCAGCATACAGATTGATTAAGAATGGTGGAAGGATATAGCCCAGACATATACTTTGCCTATTTTTTAATACTCAGTACTGCCCTCCCCCTTTTCTCTTTGAACAACTGCCTCTTGGTCTGTATACAGGTTCTGCATGAGCATAATTTAAATGTTCTGGAATTTTCATTCTTTGCAATGTTATGCATAATTTGTCATGATCCACACAACTGAATGCCTTTGCATTGTTAGTGAAACACAAGTAAACATCTTTGTGGTATTCTTCGCTGTCAGCTAAGATCCATCTGACTTAAGCAATGCTATCATCTCTCAGGTCAAAAACTTGAGTCATGCTTCACTTTGTGACCATTTCCAGCCCCTTCTACTGCTGCTATTTCTTCCCTAGATCATTGCAATTGCCTTCTAGCTGCTCTCCCTGCTCCTATGCACCTATCCCTCATCTCTAGACACTAAAGGTAGTGTTTCCTTTACAAAGTTACTAAAATGACTCTTTTAATACTAAGTCAACCACCAGGTCAATTCCTGAACCAAAACCCTATAAAAGCTCCCAATCTCACTTGGCGTAAAAGAAAAAGCTTTACAGTGGCCAAGGCCCTGCACAGTCTGCACCTTGACTCGTTCACTGTCCTTTAGCACTCCAACATGTCTGTGGTGCACTCCTCTAAACTTCTCATGCTTTCTCCAGATTTACAAACGGTAACACACATCCATCAGGCCTTTGCTTGAACCTCATCTCACCATCTCACTTAAAACTGCATCTGTTCCTACCCTGACTTCACTCCTGAGCCCCTGTCACCCTGCAGTGCTTTATCCTATGAACTTTTCACTTTTTAACATACTATAAAATGTATTGTCCGTCTCTCCCTCTAGAAATTTTAGCTTTACAAGAGCAAAAGATATTTAGTGGGTCTTAAGCTCCTAGAATGGTGTCTAGAAGGAACAGACAGTCTGTAACTGTTTGTTGGATGAATGATTCCCTCAGAGAGTTCTCCATCCTTGTACCATCTGTGTCAGTGATGCCCAAGGGAATACAACGTGAGTCAAATGCATAATTTTAAATTCGCTAGTAGCCACATTAACCGAAGTGTTATTACATGTTGTATGTAAAAATTAATTTAATAATGTCTTATTCACTTATATACCGTATATTGTTTTTATGAGCCGTCATATTAGTTCAGAATCACAGTGACCCTGGACAGGGTTTCAAGGAGCAGCTGTGGGTTTGAACTGCCAACCTTGTGGTTCACAGTCCTATTCTATTCTTATAGTGTCACACCAGGAATTCATATAATGCAATAAAAATGCTTTATATTCTTTTTAGGTGTATTTTATAATTTTAAACTGAAAACTTATGAGCCTTTATCATTTCTTTAAATTATGGGAATTTTAAAATGCATGTACCTACCTCAGCATTTCTAATGGATTTGTCTCATGAACTTGGTTGCCACACCTTGGACAATCATTGCTGTCTTCAAAGTGCTGAACAATACAAGTCTTACAGACTAGAAAGAAAGAAGAATCAGGTTAAAATGCATCATTTGAGCTGTTCTTCATTTTTAAATGAAAGGCGACTAAAATAGTTTTAAAATTACCTACTATATAGAGTACTATGTTTTAACCAAACATTATAAAACCTTAACACTGTCATAACACCTAGCTAAAAATGAAATCTTACTACCACAATATGAATATGATATACTGTATCATGCTGTGAGTCCTGGTGTGGCACTGTGGGTTATTTGCGTTGGACTGCAAAGTCAGTTCGAACCACAAGGTTGATGGTTCAAGCTCACCAGCTGCTCCTCAAGACACTGTACAGCATCACTATGGGTCAGAATCGACTTGATGGCACTTAACAACATATTGCTTATTGTTTTTCCTAAATATAGCTACAAATCAAATGAATTATTCATAGTACCTGTATGAGAGCTAGTGTCTTTTATAAAGCATTAAATTTTTCCCATTTAGGGAAATAGGAGAGTTAAGAGTGTAACTGACCTCAGCATTATATTCTCCCTCTAAGCATTTATCTGAATATGACATAAATTGTTCTCAATAAAGCTTCAGAAGTTGTCAATATGTTTGGATTGCTTCTGTGGGCAGGGTGCTCCTGGCACACAGTGGGTGTTACAAAGGCACTTTGTAGACTGTGTTGAGTTTGTGCTCCCAGGTACCTTAATTCCCTGAACACAGGTCTGGGTAGTAGCATCAAGATGGAAGAGAGGTAAACAAGAGGCTGACCCACCTTCCCAGAGGCTAAGGCCAAAAATAGTTTTTCATTGCAAAATTTTTTCATACAGTTTCAGAATAAGATGAATTTAAGATGCTCAACAACAAAACAGCTTGAATCTAGTTTTCTTCTTGTCAGGGATATGGTGGTGGGTGCCATCATTAACCTCATTACTAAGGGACTGTTTGAAATCCATCAACATTATGTTTAATTCAGCATAATTTAACCTCCAGAGGTCCTGCTGGGGCACTGTACAGTAAGCACTGGACTGCTAACCTCAAAATTGGCAGTTCAAACCCACCAGTTGCTCCTCAGAAAACCTATACAAGGTCACTATGAGTCGAGAGAATTTAACAACAAAGACCACCACAAAATACCTAGTGTGGCACTGTAGGATAAGCACTTGACTGCTATCTCCAAGGCCAGGTAGTTCAAACCCACCAGCTGCTCTTTGGGAACCCTATACAGGGTCACTATGAGTTGGAACTGACTCGACGGCACTAACAGCCTCCATCACCACAACCGAAAGGTGACCCGGTGGCACAATGTTTAAGCACTTGGTTGCTAACCAAAATGTGGGCGGTTTGATCCTACCAGTGACGCTGTGGGGTGAAAAGACCTGGTGCTTTGCTCCCATAAAGATCACAGCCTAAGAGCAGGTGCCATGACCTATAAGGTCACTATGAGTAGGAATGGACTTGACAACATTGGGTTCCATGCTCAGGATTTCATATGGATTATCATACAGACAGATACCATCTTCCTTGCCAAATGAAGACTGTAGCACTCAGAGCCACAACAGCTGGTCATAGCTGCTGAGCTGGTGGCAAAGATGGCATCCAGCCCCAGGGATGCAGTTCCGGGGCCAAAAGTCCAAATTACCATGCAACATAGCTCAAAGTCATTCACGTTTGCTGCCCCAAATCACTATTTCATTTCTTTAACAGATCTTTACAGTTGGCTTATCATAAACATTGAATTTGTGCTTAAAGCTGAATTCCTCACGCTGACCATTTCTTAGATTTCTGCTAGGTTTGTGTACAAGTTAATATAGTAACAGTCATTGTTCTATCTAAAGCAGTGGTTCTCAAGTTTAGACAGGCATCTCAACCACCAATGAAATGCTTTAAAATACAGATTTCCAAGCCTCATTGGAGACCGATTAGATCAGAATCTTGGTGAAATTAGCACCAAGACTCTTACTTTTCAATAGTCTCTCAGGCTGTTCCCATGCAGCCAAAAGATAAATGGAAAACATGGACCCCAAAGGAGGTCGAGAACTCATAGGCTAGTACCTCTGTTTAGTTGCTCCATTCCAGCATTTGACCCTCTGTCAAATCATAATCAGAAGTCACTTTATTAATTACCATTAAGAAATGACCATCTGGCCTCATTCTTCTCCCAGGGGTGGGAGCTTTCTCCCCCTAACTTACCCAATAAGAGACAGCAACTGTGCCTATATAGCTAAGCTACAAGCGTACCCTGTAGTACCCCACCATCTGGACAAGAACCAAAACCAGCTGCTAGGCTTCCCTTTTCATGTGTTATGCATATCTTCAGATGATATCCACCAGGAGATGAAAAGCAAGCTTAACAAAAAAGTAACATACATCCATTTACGCATTAAAAACTCACTAACTGTTGAAAACATCCAAGAAAACACAATGAAAGATATCAACACATGTTCAAAAGCCAAAAAACTGAGACAAATGAGCTGGAAACAGACACATGCATTCCAGCAGAAGAGCAGGCTCTGGATGTGCCTGAGAAGGAATTCAGATGAATAACATGAAAACAAATTCAATTGCTCTGAAAAGGGGTGGAGGTAAATAAGGAAGAAGTCAGGAAAGTGCTACAGGAGCAATCAACAAGATAGATAGGGCATTGGAAAAAATCCAAAACCTGCAAAAAGAAGTTCAGATGATTAATAATAAAATATCAGAAATGGACAATACACTGAAAGGGCAAAGGAGCAGAATGGAAGAGATGGAAGCCAGAACCAGTGATCTGGAAGACAAATCTCTCAAAACTGCTAAGATAGGAGATTAAGCAGAAAAAAGGATCGAAAAATCTGAAGACAGTCTAAGATTCGTGCTGGGTAACATGCGGAGGAATAAAGAATTATTGGCATTCCAGAACAGGAAGAATCACGGAAGTTCACAGAAGAGACATTTGAAGAGCTACTGGAAGAAACTTTTCCTAACATTTTGAAGGATGAGAAGATAAACATTCAAGAAGCTGAAGGAACCCCAGGGCGAATGGACCCCAAAAGAAAATCACCGAGACATATCATAATCAAGCTCCCCAAAAATCAAAGACAAGGAGAGAAGTGTCACCTACAGAGGCAAGCAAATCAGATTAAGATCTGACTTCTCAGCAGAAACCATGCAGGCAAGAAGGCAATGGGGAGACATATAAAAAAACCCTAAAAGAAAAAAAACCTGCCAACCAAGAATTGTCTGTCTAGCAAAACTGTCAATTAAATATGATGGTGCAATCACAACATTCCGAGATAAACAGAAGCTAAGGGATTTTGTTAAAGCCAATCCAGCACTTCAAAACATCCTAAAGGGAGTTCTTTGGAAAGAAAACCAGCAAGAACAGACAACAACCAGAGATTGACGACGTGGCAACACCACATGGAACTAGGTCGACGGATAGCAGAATCAGAATGGAACAAAATTACAGCAATGAATTTAATGGACCTGTGAGGCCAACCAAAGATCAAAATACTAACAACATTAAAGAAGGGAAAAATATAGGAACAGAGATCCAGGTGGTGAGGAGGTCGAGTAGATGGCAGGATACAATAGACTTGTCTTAAACACAGGGAAAACTTAACAGACTATAGGGTAACCCCAAAGAAAATTAATACTTCACAACTTACCATGAAAATGAAGATCTGAGCAGAACAAGGAAACATTAAAACAAAGAAGAAACGGACAAGAAACAGCACACAAAACATGAACACAACACAAGAAGGCATGCAGCACAAAGGAACAAACAGCACCACAAAGAAATTAACATAAAGACAGCAGTTAATCCATACCTATCGATAATTACACTGAATGTCAATGGATTAAAGGCACTAGTAAAGAGACAGAGTGGCTTAAAGGGTAAGAAAACAAGACCCTTCAGTATGCTGCCTGCGAGAGACACATCTTACAAAGACAAAAACAGACTAAAAGTTAAAGGATGGAAAAAAATATAGCAAGCTAACAGCAATAAAAGATAAGCAGGAGTGGCAATACTAATCTCTGATAAAATAAACTTTAACGCAAAAACCACCGTAAGAGATAAGGAAGGACACTATCTCATGATTAAAGGGTCAATTGAGCAAGATAACATAACCCTAATTAACATTTACACTCCAAATGAAAGAGCACCAAGATATATACAGCAAAGCCTACTAGAATTGAAGAAAGAAAGAAAGAAATCTACAATTATAATGGGGGATTTTAATATGCCACTTTCGAAAAGGGATAGAACAACCAGAAAGAAACTCGGCAAAGCTACAGAGGAACTAACCAGCACAATCAACCAACTTGACCTCATAGACATGCACAGAGCATTCAACCCGACAACAGCACAATATACATTCTTTTCCAGTACACATGGAACATTCTCCAGAATTGACCATGTGTTAGGTTACAAAGCAAGCCTCCATAAATTCACAAATGTCAAAATGCTACAAAGCATCTTTTCAAACCACAATGCCAAAAAACAGAAATCAACAATAAGAAGACCAAGGAAATAAAGTTTAATACATGGAGACTGAAGAACACCCTGCTGATGAGCAACTGGATAAAGGAAGAAATTAAATGTGAATTCAGAAAGTTCCTAGAAACAAATGAGAATTAAAACACAACATACCAAAATCTTTGGGACACGGCGAAAGCGGTGATGAGAGGACAATTTATTGCGATAAACGCGCACATCCAAAAAGAAGAAAGAACCAAAATTAATACATTAACACAACATCTCCGGCAACTAGAAACAGACCAACAGAGGGAAACTACAGTCACCAAGAGAAAAGAAATAATAAAGATCAGAGCAGAAATAAATGAGAGAAAAAACAGAAAAACTATAGAAAAAAATCAACAGGACAAGAAACTGGTTCTTTGAAAGCAGTAATAAAATTGACAAACCATTCGCAAACCTAACAAAAGAAAAGAGGGAGAAGACACAAATAATACACATTAGAAACCACGTGGGTGATGTCACAACGGAACCAAAGGAAATCAAAAGGTTGATAGCAGAATACTATGAAAA